GACAGCTTCGTTTCCTCCAATCACACAACGCATTGTTAGGATGTGGGCGGAGACTAAAATTACAAATTCTTCCTGTTAAATTGCCTTTTTACCTAGCTGTATGCTCGGTAACCTGGAAAGTTTTGTTCAGCTAGACGTTCAGAATACACATTTGTGTGCGTTCATGGTGACAGAACTACAAAATTAATATTTAATTCAAAACCTAAACCTATGTCCGGTCGTTTGGTAGCTTTTCCAGTAAAACAACGGTAACGTTAAGTAACTAGCCACCTTCTGATACAGCCAGCATCTTTGTTTACATTTTAGCGAGCGTAGCTGTGCTAGCTAGTTTGCTATGATCTACTGTGTTAATGTAACGTTAATGTTTAAAACGTAATGGTGTAATGTTATTGGTGAGTTAGATGTCCGTGTTCCCGGACATCCATTCAACATTTAAACACGTTGGAAATGTTGATTGAGTAACTTAAAGCAAACTTCAGCAAATCAACAAGTTGTTGATTAAGTTAGCTGAAGTCACCATGCACGTTACTCATCGTTAGGCTAATGTTTGCGAACGAAAGGAGTTTAACCGAAGATGTGCTCAGTTTGAAGAATCTGCTTCGACTGACGGATCTCAGCTTGCAAAGTGTGGGACAGAAACTTAGGTGAGATAACTTTATGACATGAACACACAGTCTACACCAGCTGATGATAGCTACAACACCACTTCTAACAGATACTACAGAGTAAACCTGCAGCCACCAATTACCAAGAGGTAGTTAAGTGCTTAATTTGACATCATCCTCACTTTATTCCTTCTTCACTGATTTTTCTGTGTACTCCTACAGTCTGTCAGAAGGACATAATGACAGGATCGAGAGTCAGCAGAAGGGTCCTGATCGCCTGACCTTACAGGAACTGCAGACACCTGATGTTCCTACATCCCAGTCAGGCTGTGTTTGTCAGGAGAGGCCTCTCAGTGGGACGGCTGATAGACGTGCTTTTGCTGGTAGTCTTAGCCCACCCTCCTCCAACTCTGGGGTGAGAACCAGCCGGGTATACTGTACACCACCTTGCCTCATGCTACATGCTGTTATTGGTGCATGTGTATAGAACAGATGCTTACCAATAATCTGGTGGATAACTTCAGTGCGATCTGCTTGTCCTTATTAAATACTATAGCACCCCTTAAAGTTAAGTCGAAGGCTAGAGAAAAAAAACAGCTTTGGCTCAATGACAATGACAGCTTAAAAAGGGAACATAGGAAAGTAGAACATAGGTGGAAGAAATCTGGACTCCAAGTAAACTACGCTAGCATGAAGGAGCTGCTGTCACAGTATAATAGAATGGTTAAGGAGGCTAGAACAAAATATCTTTCAGAACTCATCTCTTTGCATCACCATAACCCAAGGTTTTTATTTAGGACTGTTGATCTGTTGTTAAATCCGGCCCCACCTTGTGCCCCTACTGAAAGTAATGCTGACTGTGAGGTGTTTTTATTGTATTTTATTGAAAAGGTGGAAAGGTTAATTCGAGCCTCCATCACACCCAGTGCCACTTCCTCAGATTTTCCACACCCACAGCATGACTGTTTTAACAAGTTTTATCCAATTACATTTACGGAACTTGTAGAAATGGTATCACATATGAGAGTATCTTTCTAAGTTTTTATTAAGAGTCATGAATTCTGTAGGGCCTTGCTTGCTCTCAATTTTTAATAGTTCCTTATCCAGTGGCTGTGTCCCAGATTATTTTTAAACTGCGTGTGTGAATCCACTGTTAAAAAAACCTGGACTGGACATCTCCCTCCCCGAAAATTATAGACCAATCTCCAAGTTGCCCTTTATTGCTAAAATTTTAGAAAAATGGTGTCCAAGCAGCTTCTACATACATTAGAAACAAACAGCATCTTTGAAAAGTTTCAATCAGGCTTCAGGAAATACCATAGCACTGAAACGAAATTGCTCAAAGTTACCAATGATCTTTTGATAGCTGCAGATAGTGGAATGTGCTCTGTGCTTGTACTCTTAGATCTTAGTGCTGCGTTCGACACAGTTGATCATAGTACCTTCTTGGAGAGAATGAGGCGCTGGGTGGGGATATCTGGCACTGTTTTAGACTGGTTTATCTCTTACTTGACAGATAGGAGTTTCTGTGTGTCTTTTGAATAATTATACGTCCTCATACACTACTGTTAAGTATGGGGTGCCGCAGGGGTCAGTCTTGGTACCAATTTTATTTTCATTATATATGCTTCCTTTAGGGTACATTATTCAAAGACAAGGTATCTCTTTCCATTTTTATGTAGATGATACACAGTTGTACCTGCCCATTAAACGCATTGACCCTGAAATGTTAACTTCATTGAAGGACTGCCTTAGTGAATTAAAAAACTGGATGTCCGATAATTTCCTTCAATTAAACTCCGATAAAACAGAGATCCTCATCATTGGCCCCAAGCATTTGACAAAACATATTGTGCCGTTCACAGATTGCCTTGGTTTATCAGATCACTGTCTGGTTTGACAGTGATTTGTGTTTTGAGCAGCACACCACAAAGCTGGTGCAATCATGTTTTTATCATCTTAGAAACATTTCTAAAATCTGACCTTTTTTAACTTTTAATGATACTGAGACCATTTTACACGCTTTTATTTCTTCACGTATGGACTATTGTAACAGTCTCTTTTCCTTTCTGAATCGAAAATCTATTGTTCGGCTACGGTATGTCCAGAATTCAGCTGTCAGGCTTTTAACTAGAACCAAGAAACGTGATCATATCACTCCTGTTTTGGCTTCGTTACACTGGCTCCCAGTATGTTTTAGAATTGATTTTACTGATTACATTTAAGGCTTTACATGGTCTCGCCCCTTGCTATATTGCTGACCTACTAGTACCTTATATACCAGCTCGTAACTTGAGATCCTTAAGTAAGGGGCTTTTAGTGGTCCCAGAGACGAAATTAGGTCGACTGAATCAGTAAACTCTTTTAAATCCCTTGTTAAAACATACTTTTATCGTAGAGCATTCCCTGATTTTACCTGATTTTATTTGAAGTATATTTTGAAGTGACTTGTTTCTTGTATTGTTTTATATATGTTTTTATGTCAACTGCTTTATGTAAAGCACTTTGTAATGTTGGTTTTAAAAGTGCTCTATAAATAAAGATTATTATTATTATTATTATTATTATTGTTCCATATCCCCAAAACACTGGTAGATAGATTAGAAAATGTCTGTGTTCACTGAAATAATCTCTGTAGATCATTGGATTGACCACATAATGTATTTACATTACATTTATAGGTTTATTACATCAGCAGCGATAAATGAGGTGATATCATTACAGTTTTAAATGTGGTCTGTACAATAATGTTTTTTAGTGAAAGGGAAATGAGATTAAATGTTTACAGAAAGCTGTAAATGTAATTTGGATCCTTTAGGCAAGGTGCTTAGTGATAAACAGGGCCAGGGCAAGGTAACATCATAACTAAAAGGTGAATAGTAGAATACATCCCTCACCACGAACACAAACCTCTCATCCACACCTATGTTCTACCTTCCTTTTCAGTCAATCAAGGCCAGGTCAGTAAAGATGGAGTCTGTTTCTTCAAGGAAGAAGGCGAGCTGTGTGCGTCAGGAGAACGCCTGTCTGACCACGCAGGATGAGCAGTTCATCAGTGACCTTGATGCAATGCAGTATGATTTGGCCACCTACAAGTCACAGGTATGACAATCATCCCTACACAGATGATTTGTGTAAATAAAGGTGCCTTAATCTTTAAGCGCTATGTGGTGTGCTTCATCAATATAGTGTGATGTCAGTGTTCTTTGTTTCAGTGTTTTGTTGAGACATTGGCAAATCTGTCTTAAATACAAACAGAAACTGTATTGTACACATATCCTGTATGTGTTTTCTTTTTTAGGTTGGACTCAGAGGTCCCAGGATTGGGGTTAGAAACAATGTGGCAGTCATGAGTGAGCAGATCCGTCAGCTTCAAGCAGAGCTGGAGGCTCAAGCCAAAGAACTAACGTAACCTCCTGAACTTATATTTCTGCAGATGTTATTTGTGAAATTGTAATGTGGCAATTGCATACTAAATTGTTGGGGAGATTTTGGAATTAGCTATGGGGTTTGGTCAGTCTTTTATAATACATTAAATGTAAATGCTCCCTATTTGTATAGTGCCTTTGTAGTCTTTTCAACCACTCAAAGCACTTTACTATTCACACAGTGCTCAAACAGAAACTAACATTCACACACTGGTGGACAGGGGTGATGCACAAGGACACTTCGACATGCAGCCTGGAGGAGAAGGGGATTGAACTGCTGATTTTCCGATTTACGGGCAACCCGCTCTATCTCCTGAGCCACAGCCTCCCCTGTTGTCAGTTTTCCTACTGGGGCAGACTTGATTGTGGCTTTGTTTGCCTTTTACCTTTTTTCACTAACCTCTAGTTTAACCTGGAATTAATATCCTAACAACCTGTCCCTGTCTGTGTTTCCTAGGGAAGCAGAGCTGAGGGCAGAGTGTAGCCAGGAAGCAGCAGCTCACAGTGACATTGTGGTGGCGACTCTGACTGAGGAGCTGAGCGCTCTCAGAGAAGAGCTAGACAACAAGACATCACTGGGCAAACGGTGATGCCTTTTTCTGGGCCTGGCTTCTGCACACATTTTAATTTCATTACAGTTTGCAGTTCATTACAGTTCTTTTTATAATTTAGGTAACAGCATGATCCCCATATGAAATTAATCTAAAATGTGTTTTGCCATATTTGATTTTTTAATTGAACTAAATGAAGTGATTGACTTCAGCCTGAAGTTGAAACACAGGAAGATATTCCATGTTAAACTTATTTTAACAGCATGACGACGTTATTGTTTTAGTACTTACAATATGTTCTACATCATCCCTTACAGGGCTGAGCAACAAAGGAACCAAGCTCTTCAAAATGCAGAGAAACTCAAAGAAGCCTTCAAAGATTATAAGGCTACCATTTCCATTAAACTTAAGAGGGTGAGCTCAATTAACCTAAATAATTTAAATATTTAAGTATATGTCTGTTTTTATGTCACTTTAGATGCATGTTGATGCAAACAAGTGTTTTTTTTTCTTAAGGTGATGGAGAGTGAGTGCAAACTGAAAGAGAGTCTTATTGAGTGTGACAGAGAAAAAGAAGAGTTGGAAACAAAGTGTACTGTGTTGGAGAGAGGAAAGGTAGAACAGAGCCACACAATTAGGTACGCATTTTAGAGTGATTGTCTCATTGTTTCTGTACATGTTTTTTTTATGTGTGTATTTCGAAAACAGAAATAAAGGATTTCTGATTTATCGTTATCTTTCAAAAGAAGTAGCTTTGATTTGCTGGTTAAGTCACTTTTTAAATCCCCGATCTTCCCCCTCGTCTGCATCCCAGCCAACTGAAGGAGGAGGTAAAGCAGGCCAAGTGTGCGGCTGCTGCCCTTCAGGCTCAGCTGGAGGAGGCCAGACAAAAGGCCTTACATCTGGAACAGCAGCTGATGGAGCAGGGAGTGGAGTGCAGGGAGCTGGCCTCTCTGCGCAAGGAGCTGGAAGATATGCGGAACCTAATGCAGAGCAAGGAGCTGAGGGTGGCCCAGAGCCACAGGGAGGCTCAGCAGAGCCAGGCGGAGCTGGCCAGCCTGGAGGCCATACTGGCCCTGCTGCATCTACGAGAGGTGCCAATGTTTATTTGTTTTCCAAAACCTGGTTTTAGTACCACAGTAACTGTCCAAAACAACTCATGCTTATCATTGATCTTGCTCAGGTTTGACGTGTTTACTGTCAATATATGTTATTTTTTAATTTCAGGGTAGTGTTGGGCCGCTGTGTGTCAGGCCCTGCAAGTTGCCCCCAGTGGACTATTCAGGAGCAGCACACCTACTGAAGCTAAAGCCAGGTATGCTGAGAAACCTTACTTAATTACATCCTGTGTTATCTATGACTATTAAATTCAGGTTTCCCATCTTTGTTTGTGTAGATGTCTCGGTCTAATAGGCTAAAACAAGTCTGGGACCTGCCTTTTAAAGAAATCTTTTAAAGCTTTATGCAACATGGTCATTTAGTTAATTACACAGCAAAGTAGAAAAAATTACATGGGCAGGTACCATATATACTTTCCCCTTGTATACATGATTTAAAAACTAGAAGCATTTCCTTCCATTCTTTCCCCATTTGGTCAACACCCACAGGTGAAGGCTACCAGCAGCTGCTGCGAGTGCTGCAGTCGATGGAGGCTGAGAGGACCAAACAGAACAGCCTGGTCGAGCGGCTTCAGGAGCGTCTGAGCAGAGCCCAGGAGGAGATCTCCTCCCTGCAGAGCTCCATGGCCCAGAGAGCCTCCCACTACCAGAGCCTCCACTCGGAGCTGCTTGGCAAAGTCAGCCAAGCCACTGATACAGAGAAAGAGGTCACTTTTCTGATCTTCTCTTCCATCATCCCCTTTTATTAATTTGTCGTTTCTTAAACATGATCCTTGATTTTCCTTCTTTTTAATGAATTGTCTTACTGATAATTAATCTTTATTAGTTAATAATCTTACAGTTTCATGGGTATGTTTTTCACAACTACTTTCTTAGCCATCAAAAGTTATATAGGTGCATCACAAAAAATATGAATATAGGGGAAAAGTTCATTGTGAGCACCAGAATCACACTGAGAGAATAAAGGCTCAGGAAACCTTAAGAGTTAATTTGCTAATTAGAGCTCTTCTCAGATTGACATTTCTGTTTTTATATTATAAATTCTTTATTCTAAAATTCTAATACATTTTGAGATGCTGGAATTTTGAGCTGTAAGCCGTAATCAGATTATAATGGGGGAAAAACGACTTGAAATATTTCACTTTATGTAAGTATTCTCAGTGCAGTATGAATTTTATTTTACCAAGCCTGAGGGTAGAGCTTGACCTGACACCAATTTTGATTTTTGAGGATTTTAAAATCTAATATTCTTTTTTTCTTTTCCGAAACAACATAAACAAAGATTATCCCTGACATTTATATGTAGTTGTGTAGACGTCTATGTATGTGATATTGTGACATTATGCAGTTTAGTTTATATATTGTTTATAAACGAAAGTACAATTGATCTTATCAGATGATTGCTGTGTTTTGTGGCGGATTTGTGACTTATTACACCAAGCACCGATTGCCCTCTGGTGGACAGATTATGCAAGGACAACACTCATAACACGTTTGACGCATCCTTTTTCCGTCTCTCCGTTTCTTTTTTGTCTCTCACTGCCTGTTATATATTTATCTGCAATGAGCTCATTTTGGCCGATTAATATTGGCATGCCGATACTGGTATCGGCTTATTGGTTCTTATAGATTGCTGCAATTACAAGCTGTTTTTTTAAAATCTCTGTTTCACACACAGTTAAAAAGAAAAAGTGCACGTGTGGCTTCCCTGGAAAAACAGTTACAGGAGAAAACCTCAGCCTACGGTCAGGCTGCACTGAAAAACACTGAGCTGGAGAATCAGCTGCTGGTACACACACACACACACACACACACACACACACACACACACACACACACACACACGTACGTTTGTTTTTTCAGCATTTTTTTCCCTAATCACACCATCTGGCTTATTCCTGACATGATGAGCTGAGAGATTTGGTCATGATTCACAACCCCTTTCTGACAGGGGTCATGCGTAGTGTGAATGAAATCTTAAGAGCTTGTTAACACAAAGATAAGAAATACAAGGGAATCACTGCCACCCAATTCTGAAGAATCCTTCCTGCTGGAGTATTTAACTCTTACTAGACCTACAGAGATTCCCTGCGTGTCCAAATAAGGTTATTCTTCGCCCATCTGCACATGGGTGAAGATTCTGTCGGGTGTTGGATCCTAAACAAAGAAATGTGGGGTTAGTCTAGTGTGCCATCTGTTGACTGTGAGATCCATTCAGCAAGGTTTTTGTAATGAATTTTTAAAAACATATATTTTTCAACCGTTTAACTGATAGTATTAACCAGTATAAATTCTTATTGGCTAAATTATGAGTCATGGGTCCTAATGTGTACATTCTGACTGTATTCTCTGTTTGCTAGCCTGTACCACAGAGCCACTATTTTCTTTTTTTTATAGAATCCTTTACACATGATGTTTTCCTTTTTCTAATTACAGGAGAAAGCCAGCACCCTTCAGCATTACCAGTCACTTATGACCAAAAAGCAAAGAGAGTACCAGCAGTCTCTGGAAAAGTGTAAAAAGTCTCAATCTCAACAATTCACAGAGCAACAGCACAGGATAGAAATGGTGATCTACAGCTAAATCTGTCTTGCTCACTTTCTCTCCACTGAACCTCCACGGTGTGATTCTAACACACACTTTGTTGCTGTTCAGTTCATTTAAATTCTATTTAACCAAGCTTTGTTTCACCAGCTACAAAGTAATTCATCTCAAGTATGATTTAAGTTAATTTGCACCTTGTTGTGTGTGAGCCAGAGAGAATGTATACTCTCTGCTCTGACCATATATTTAAAACAGCAAAGTGATATTAAGTAACAGTATTTTGTCTCCTCTGCAGTTGCAGTTGTCTGTGGAGGAGGCTCAGTCTCGGGTGTTTGAGATGGAGCAGGAGCTGAGCTCACTCCAGAAGGAGCGAGACGAGGCTCAGAAAGCAGCTCTCCTGCTACAGAGCTCTGTGGAACAACTCACACAGGTCAGGACACGTCTTACAGTGTGTAGGACCGTATTGGTGCATCTTTTTTTCACCTTCACTGGGTAAAACAAAGGACCCATTTCAGACTTAAGTTAAAGACACAACAACTATAATTTAACCCAAGTGTATATACTGCACTGTTTATATATGGTCCCTTTTGATTACATTTCAGCAGAAGCAGGTTGAAGTAAGACACAGTGAGGAGCTGCTGCAGAGTTTCAAAGAGCAGGCGGCTCAGTCTGCCAGCAAGGTTTGTGTAAAAGACCTGGTTACCATAGACAAACACAAATAACATAGATTTAAATGTACAATTCATGGAATTCATGAATTCCGCCATAACCACAAGTATGCACCATCCATGACTTCTGTTTGTACATCAGGTGTGTGAACTACAGTCGACTCTGTCGGCGTGTAGAGAGGAGCTGAACGCATACCTGCAGCAGATGGAGGAGGTGAAGAAGAACTCTGAGAGTGAGCTGCAGAAGTACAATGACAAGGTACAGCATTATAAACAATGACACAGTTGACAATGACTCAGTTTGCAAGGGAATTTGTATGCACTTCTATGTTGCAAAGCCCACTTCTCAGGCTGATCTTCTCCCCTGCTCCTCCCTCCACAGGTGTCCTCTCTGCAGGAGAAGCTCCACCGTGCCGGCCTGGTTTGTCAGAGCTCCAGTGAGCAGAACCTGCAGCTGCAGCTTTCTCTCCAGCAGCAGCAGACCATGCTGACTGAGAGCGCTGCTCACATCTCTGAGCTGGAGGAGAGTCAGAGCCAGCTACAGGCACAGGTAAGTTAAAACTTTATCAAATAGCAGATTAATGAGAATGTTTACAGTATATGTGTAAATAAAACGCCATGGAGTATTTTTGAGTTATCAGGAATCCATTGTTTTTATTTCAACTCTAATTAGGGTTGCCAACAGTCCTGTAAATATGGAATTGTCCTATAATTGGAAACTAAAAGACATGTTCCATATTAAACTAATACAGATGTGCTTTTATTGTTTTTTAGAATCAATTCAGTGCAAGTCTGTGGGAGAGAAATATTACAGGTTAGACTACTAACAGCGATTTGTATGAGACAGTAGGAAACCCTCCTGCTCTGTTATCCCTCAGCCTTTCTATCGTGTTATGTTCCACTGCCCAAACAGAAGAAGGGGGAGGTGTGTAGACACAGCTGTTTGTGTCTCATTCACGCTCACTCTCTTGTTGACTGTACCTTCACTTCCCAGTGGTTTCCCTTCTTTCTCTACCTTTTACAATAGATTTTTAGAAGATAGATTCTTTTCACCAACATTAAGTGTTGTTTTGTTGGCAATCATCCATGCCGAATTTACCTTAAGAGCCACCTGATTTATAAAATAAAATTTAGCGAGTTCACTTCACGAGTGCCTTTGTGTCAACAGGAAACAAAACCATAGGATTTGTGAATGAAGTTTGGTGAGGAAGCAGAAAACACTGCTCTTACTATAGAGTGAAATTAGAATCAAAACGGTCACAAATGTATATTACTAGCTTCAAAAGGTTGACACCCAGTGTTTGAAAGCTTTGAAAATGAAAAGTTTTTGCAAGAATGAAGCTAGGATTTGGAAGCTTGCATGATGTTTTGATAGCAATAGCAAATCTCTGCAAACATTATTTTGTAAATTAATTTTCATTCTTCACAACTGCAGCACCTTTTTAATGTTTTTTCACTGTTTTTCCAGTGTATTTGTTGGTTTTCCAGGGAAACCTTGTAAATGGTGATCAGGTAGATGTGTACATGTTGGGAGGAAATTGTTTTGAAACATTGAAATTTGAGTTTCAAAAGGGCACATGTTTATTTTGAAAGTTATGCAGGCATGCAATACATGCATTCGTATTGCAGTCCGTTCTGCCCACACAGTTGCAAGCTTCAACATATCAAAACATTATGTAAGCCTAAACTTAGTTTGAATCTTGCAAAACCTTTTCCTAGATTTCATACTTTCAGTACTGAGTTTCAACCTTTCAATGCATGTTTTTTATTTATTTTATTTTTTTTTCAGTTTCTTTATATGACACATTCATCCCATAGTACTCTGACATGCAGATATACAAACTTGTGGTAAATCTGCACCACTGTTTAAGGGAAACGGCTTGTTTGATCTTGTGATTTCATTTATAGTTCAGCACATTTTATCAGCGGGTCGTACTTTCTGTCTTTCACAACAAGCCGAGTACAGTGGTCTCCATTCAGCAGGGAAAAACTGTACAGAGACAGTAACCTGGAGCTTCTTTGTGCCGGATGGTCTGATTTGGGTTACAGATGAGATCAGATTGCCTGTAGGGACAGACTGTCAAGAAGATGTTTATTAGGGCCTGAGCAGCGTCTGCTGCGAGGTCCCTATTAAAATCGTTGTTTTTTTATTTTATTTTTAAGCTTTAAACGCATTTAAACCTCTGATGTGGGTTAGAAATAGGTGTGACAAAATGGCTCGATAGCGCCCTTTATTTATCAAATTTGGGAGGCCTCTTGGAGTCCTACCCTAAACGCAACAGGAAGTAATTTCTTATTTACTGTGCAATTTTTGTGTATTTTTGGCTATTTACAGGCTCCGTACTTTAACGTACTGCTAGAGAATTAATCGCATTAATGAAATTTGGGCAGTGTAATCTTTGTGATGCTAAATTTCAAAGAGGTTTTATCAAATGGTGTTCCTGTGGTGATATAGTGAATTTCAATGTTTTAATGTTTCACCATCACCTCGCCCCTTTTAATTTTTCATTGTTTTGAGTAGCAGGTAATTTCTCATCATTCTTCATAGAACAGAAATAAATGCATGAAATAGATAAATAGATAGAATAAAGATACATGCTGATATTGTCTCTGTCCGTAGGTATCCAGTCTGGAGCAGCAGCTGGAACGAGCCCGGGCCTCTCTGCAGGATGAGGTAAGGAAGAGAGAGCAGGATGACCAGGAGAAAGATAAGGACCTGCTGGAGATCAGCCAGCAGAACACAAAACTCTCCGAGTCTGTCAGGTGAGAATACCTGTGCGCACATGGACACTCATGCTACACTCTGAGGAAAAATGGAAACAGAATCATTCAGAGTTAATTTTGAGAGTTGTCATTGTGGCAACAGTCATTTAGAATATCCCATTCACTGCCAGATATTGGTTCACAATTTCTCAGTAGTTTTTTTTGTTGTTGATGGTGTGGCATTATTTGTAGTTTCCCACCATCACTATTGCTAGTATTTAATACAGTTTGTATGTAACTTTTGTTGTTTGCTGAAAATATTCTTGGAAGCATCGTGTTCTTCCTGACCTGCAGCAAAGGCAGTCTAAGGCCTCAACAGTCTGTGACAGTCTTATGATTACACCACATCCCATTTGTCTGTAGGCATGAAGCAGGCCTCCCCTCCCCGCCCCATGAATATGTATATATAAATGGGGATATTACTTCATTGAGACTGGGAGATAGAAGCCTGATGGATTCGGAGTTATTTCATTCTGCAGTGCTGCTGTCTAGTTTCATTTTTGTGACATTTTAAAAGCTCCAAAGCAAAACCATGTGTGTTGTTTAAATGTGCCATCAAAAGGCATGTTTGCTCAGCTCAGTTTAGCTACTCTAACAGTTCTGGAGGGACTACCTTCTCTCTAAGTCTACGATGGGAGCCGTGCTTACATTAAGGTGAGGAATGCTGCATGACCCAAGCTGAATTTAGTTAGATAGTAAAGAATGCAATTTATATGCTGATTAATGCTGCATCATGCCTTCCCTTTATTGCAGCACATTGTCTAAAACCATATTTGTGTGGTTCAAATAAGACTTCTAATTGCTGTACAAATGTACTGATTATTGTTGTCTGTGTTTTTCTCCTTGTGCTTTCTGCAGCCATCTGACATCAGAGATGACAAAGTGTCGAGGGGAGCTGCTGTCTAAAGAGTCGGAGTTGCAGCGTCTGAAGAGGGATGTCGCGGTCAAGGCTTCTCAGCTCGGCCGCATGGAGGAAAGCCTGCAACACACAAAGAGCCAGCTCGACGGCAAAACTGACATGGGTATGTTGCACTAGAAGATTTCAGTTTCTGTTGTTATTTTTTGGCAGAGAAGAGATCAATTAAGCCATAACTACACATACATCAAACTAAGATTTCAAAATTTGAACCTCTACTTTCTATGTGATCTTAACTTATTTTTCTTTCTTACGCCTCCCAGTGGTGGATCTGGAAGAGAAGCTCCATCGCTGTGAGGCCGACAAGCTCAACTGTGTCCAGCAGGTCCAGATCCTGGAGGGACAGCTTCAGATGGTGCGGGGAGAGTTGGGTGACACTCTGAAGCAACTACAAGAACTCAGGGATGTTCTGCAAAGAACCCAAACCATCGCGGATGAGCGGCATGCCTCGATGGAGAAACTGACTGTCCAACTTAGGTGAGGATTCTCCCTCATGTGAAATATCCTTCTGCACACAGGGACAAGGGACACACCTCAGATGGAGACACTGTCCATGTGCTGTTGCCCGAATAAGATCCTCATCTATGTTCGAAAACAATATCCGCATTGTAAATGTGTGAATCACAAACACACCAACAGACACACACGGCCATGTGTGTTATTGTACCAGTGATCCACTTAAAGTCTCACACCTTTTAACTAATTTCATGGCTTATCTTTGTTCTCAGATGAAATAATGACAGTGTTTACATTTTTACTGAGGAAATCCGTTTGCTTTTTAAGATGAAATAATATGAAATTCTGATTTCTATATACTACTGTTTTTTTCCCCTTACTATCCAAGTTGGAACTTGTATAATGTGTCATGTAATTTTTTGTGACTGATTTACTCAATCTGCTTTGGTTTTGTGATGTGATATTTGTCTATTTAAAACATACCACTGACACAGATGAAACCTGTGTTAATTTGAATCATTTATGTTGTGTAACAGCAGCTGTTGTACATCAAGCACTCAATGGACATACACTCATGTTATGAATGAATCATTTTCTTGTGTAAAAGAAGAAAAAAAACAGGATGCTACATTCCATCCATTCCTGTTGGATTTTATTTAGTGTTGCTGTCTTTCAGAGTACAGGGATTACGAGTGCTTGTGTGCTAATCTCATGCCAATGCTTGAGGCAGAAAATACCATTTAAAAAAAACATACAGTTGTCAAGATCTAGGTTAAAGTCATGAGCCCTTTTACACACACAAGGGCACTGAAATGTGTTACACCCTCAGTCATGTTGACCCAAAGCAAAGAACAACCTAAGAAATGGTTAACAATAGCCTCCTATATAAAGTCTTCAAATCATGTTACTGTATTTGGCACTGCAAGAATCAAACACAGATCTGCACAGATCTGCACAGACCTGCCGTTCAGAGGACACTCCCAGTCTTGTTTCTTCAAGTTACCCAGTGTGACTTTTACAAATATTAAATAGATAAGGTATCTGATAAACTATTTATAAAATAGCGTGTGTGTGTGTGTGTGTGTGTGTGTGTGTGTGTGTGTGTGTCTTCACAGTGAGACCCAGAGGGAGTTGGAGGAGAGGACTCACGAGGTCTTAGACATGGACAGTGCGCTGAAAGAAAGACAGGGGGAGCTCCAGCAGAGAGCACAGCTGGTACAACACGCACACAAACAATAGTACACTTCATTTAATTTGAAGAACATGTTTTGCTGCCGAGTCTCTCCCCTAATTTCTGTTATGATTTTCTTAAATTGTCTTTGTTTCTTTTCTCCGGCCGTCCCCGTTGTTCTCAGCTGGGTCAGCTGGAGGTGGCCATCAGAGAGCACAAGCAGGAGATGGAGAGGAAGGTGGAGTCCCTGCAGCAGAGCTTGGAAGCCAGAGAGAGAGAACTGAGGGACACACAGAGGGAGCTCACAGACAGAAACACGAAGGTCAGGAACAGTCACGGAATAGGCAGGCAAAGCGTGAGAAAATGTTTTCACTGTCAGTCAGCTCCGCGTTGACAGACATTTCCAGACGAACCACTTGGAAAAGTACAGAACCGGATTATCTGGAGCAGGATTAAGTTCAATCATAAATGTTCACACCCTTTGAGTTTTCATTGCACAGTGGCTCATAATGATTTATGTTAAAAAATATATAAATGAAAAACAATTAAAAAAGTAAGTTAAAAGTTTAAATTAAAATAGATCAAAAGTAAAAATAAAACATCTTTTAATGGCAAAGCCATAATGGCACTGAGTTTCCTCTTGGAGATATTCACAAAACTGCTGAGAGCAACTTTAGCTGAGGGACTGAGAGAAATGGTTATGCTTATTTTTGGTGTTTCTCCTAAACTGCCAGTTAGGAGCTACTTTTAGCCTTAGGATGTTTTGTGAATACAGCCCCTGTTTACTGTCAGCTGTTATATGAGATCTGAGGGCTATACAATAGATGTTAATCAAACACTGTCAGCCACACAGTTAAGCCCTGATCATACAAAGGGTTTGTAAATGTTTACACACCTGGTTTTTGCATTTAATTTCTGTTGTAACTTCATAAAACTATAAATAATGTCTTATTTAATTGTCTTACTACTTGAGTCTAATAGAAATCATAATCTGGTGTCCTATAAGCCGCTTTGAAAATTACCTTTTAAAATCAGCACAGCAAATTGTGAGGCTGTGCAGTTGGGGGGGGCGGGGTACAGCATTGTACTTTGCGTGGCAATATTACATCTATACACAGATAAGTATTAATCTTTCATGATTTAAAACTGAATAATACAATCAATTGTTTTATCGGTCCAGTGGATGGCTAGTTTTTTGTGGTGAGGTCAGCAGAGGACAGCGAGATTAGTAAGAAGTTGGGCAAAACAGTGCAATGAACAGACTGAAAACTTTATCATTAGATAAAACAGATGTTGGCAAAGGTTTTCTTTTGGCACATAATTTGCAATTAAAAAAAGTTAAAAAATAAATATATAATATATAGTATATGGGGTTTATTAATTTTACAATTGCTTTATTTCATTACAGATCAATAAAGTCAAATAGCCCACACTTGAATCACTAAACTGTAGGCTACAACAACATAATCAACACATTTAAATAATTTTATTACACCTATTGTTTAAGAACATCATATCCTAAAAGTTAAAAGCAAATCATAAAAACTTGATTCTTTTAGTTCAGAGCAGTTCATAGAATGATTAAATGAATTCAGACATTTACCTGAGGTGAGATGTGTTACAATGTAGATCATCAAACTGTATGCTGATAAATGCACGTGCATGCATTTTAGGAGTCTCAGGAGCTCGGCCAGCAGCTGCACATGTCACAGCAGAAACTTCAGAATTCACTAAAAGAGCTTGAAGAAACTCACCGTCACTGTGAGGCTTTAACCAGAGAGTTGGACGCCACCAAGCTGCACACAAAAAAGCAGGTAAAGTCAAAGCACATTTTATTATTATTTAATCGCTCATATTTAAGTTTTTCAGTGTATAACTTGTAGGCAGTGTTGTCACACAAAAAATACATTTTAGCAAGTAAACTGTTGTTGTAAAAACGGTTATGTTATGAAATACTATGACTTATTTCAACATACTAGCATTTTTACTCTTGAAAAGTATGTTAGTTAAGTTAGACTTCATTCAAAACAACAAGGAAACGTCTTACACCACTGGCAGAATCTTTTGGTGTTGTAAGTTTAAAAAAAAGAAGGATTTTTTGCTCTTTATATCTGCTTCATTGCTACTACCACCAATAAGGTGTGTGTCTTTGCAGGAGGTCCAGCTGTGTGGCATGGAGGAGGAGCTGGCACTGAAGGAGGCACGCTGGCTGCAGTTGGAGGCCGGGCTGCAGAGCACCATCAGCTCTTTAGAGCAGGAGCTGGACCTGGAGAGAGAGCAGCACAGCAAGGAGGTACAGTAGCTACAGAGGCTTCAAGACTGATGTCGTCTTCCTCCATCTAATGCAACAAACCAGTCTATCAAAATAGAGACTTTTTTTTACTTCAAACTGTTTTATCAAAGTGACTGTGAAATCATGATGCTGTAGTACAGGTTTTGCAGTTATTCTACAATACGTGGCTCTTCGACACTGTAAGATCATACTATTACTGTACAACAATGTGACACCGCTTGTTCTGCAGATTCGGCATTGTGGGTTCTCTTGTTCCCTCTTAGTGTCTGTTTCTGTCTGATTTCTTTTCCTCTTTTTGTATAATGTTTAAATAAGTTTTTTGTAGTTGTCACCAACACTGTGTGAATTCCTCATTCTTTTTACATTTTGAGTTTCTTTTCTCATCACTTCATCTCTGCCACACATAGCTGACAATATCCTGCTATTTGTTTGCTCTTGTCCTGCTACAACCTTTGGGCTTACCTGATTACATCAAAAGGAGGTAGATCATATTCTTATCAGAGCAGCATTTCAAGCTGCATGTCAGCTTGTTTAAACCCATCTAGTCTCATTTGTCTGTTTTCCCTTCCTCCCCAGCTGGAGGCCCTTCAGCAGACTCGAGGCCAGCTCCTCAAAGTCTCTGAGCAGATCTCCTCCAGCATGCGCTCGTCCCAGGAGCAGCTTGCCGCTAAACTTCAGCAGAGCCAGCACCAGCTGGAGCAGGTCAGGGCCCAGTGCGATCACACCAAAAGCCAGCTGGAGCAAACTAAGACTGAGTTGGCTTGCACCCAGGACCAAGCCAGTCACCTCCAGACACAGAGAGACCAGACTCAAACCCAGCTCCTTCAGAGTAAAGCCCAGCTGGAGCAAAGCAGGATTCTGTATGAACAGACCAGAGCACAGAACAGTCACCTCCACGCCCAACTGGAGCAGCTCAGTGCCCAGTTAAATCAAGCCAGAGTCCAGGTCGCCCAGCTCCAAACTCAGCTCCAGGCCTTTGAGAAGTCCATGGAGACCTCCAGCGAGTCCCTGCTCATCAAGGTTTGAGTTCTTTAGAAGTGTGAGTGTCATGAAAGTTGCATTATGGAAGTGTATCTGGGAATGAAGTTTGTGTCTCCCTGCAGGAGTCTGAGGTGACCCGTCTCAAAGCCCGGATCTCCAGTCTGGAGCGAGCTGCTGACCGCCAGCATCTGTGCGACAACACGCTCTCCCTTCCTGCTCTGGACCAATTCACGCACTCAGAGCACTCCTTCTACCCTCACTCCCCTCCTTCCTCCCCCAGAAATCCTCAGACAGCTGCTGCCCCCTCTTCTAAACAGGCACACTCGACTCGCCTCCTCTCCCCAACACACACTCGAACTTGCTCCTCACCCCCTGCTGACGCATACCTTCAGCCCACCTCGGCCCCTCATCTATCACACCAAACTGAGAGCCACCAAACTTGCGATTGGCTGCAGAGCAACAGTCTCGACTCCTCCCTGGATCTCCCTGTGAGCCTGAAGGCCACTCTGAGGGAGGCTTTGAGCAAGCAGCCGTGGGAGTCCTCCTCCCCCTCCGTCTCCTCTTTCCCGGACACGGTGGACCACAGCTGGCAGGGCCTCAGCGCCACGGAGGCCACAGCAACCTCTGACCTCTCCTTCAACCCCCTGACGTACATGGCAGACAAGCAAGACGACCTCCACATGGAGGCTACCTCGATGCAAGAGGGGGACGACGAGCAGACGAGTGAGTCGAGGAGGGACTCTGTGTGCACCCTAGTGGATCAAGAGGTGGATATGAGTTCACTGACGGGGATGCTGAGGTTTGTTAATCAGACGTTAGCCATGCAGCAGGACCCTTCTTTGTGGAGCTCCACGGGATTATCAGAGACGGGACGCAGCCTCACACTCCAGGTAACAACCCCACCCCTTATCTGACACATACAATGATTCAGATGAGGATAGTTGGCAGATGAATCGATGATGAAAATAAATGTTAGTTGCAAACCTATAATGAGTGGTGCATCAAAGTGTGTTTACAGTCACCTAATCTGATGAACCTTTTAAAAAATGCTTGTTTTGAATACTTTTACTTAATATTGGTTTAGCCTCTAATTTGGTTCCATCCTGTCAAAGCATTAAATAGACAGATCCCAGTTCTTACATAACATTTCTCTGCAGGCTTTATTATAAGGAGACACACATCTTTATGTTATATTCACACAGACATAAATTAACTTTGTCAGCTGTATGTTTTTAGGAAAGATTTCCCTTTCTATATGGGGTTACAAGTCACACAGGATATCCAAGGCTACAGCTAGAAGCCTCTACTGTTAAAAACAATCTTCACTACTTACTCTTTTTCCAGTTTTGACTTGCAAGACAAAGCAATTCAACAAAACTTTACCATAAAGAATTCCTTGCAGATATTAAATCAGATTAAATTGGCTCACCAAACTCCCAGTCTTTCCATACACAGTCTGGAGAGAGAGGCTGTCAGAACAGTTTTCTCTGTGGCCACTTCAGGGCTAAGTACTTTACCTGAGATGTTGCTGTATGTAATCTTGTAAACTGTCAGGCAGCCTTTTTGTTCTGTTTGTGTTCCACTTGGTGTTGTGTCACTGTAAAATTTTAACTATAAATAAAGTATAGAAATAATTTAATAATCATGACCAACTGAGCAACAAAGTTAAAGAGAAAAAAAAACACATTTGATCATTATTTATTACGTTTAACAAAAAAAAAACAACATAGTGTTTCTTCCAGAAAAGGTTTTGTGTGAGACTGATGCATTTTTCCCTTTCCATTTTAGAGGGACGTTAAGGAGACATGAAGCTATTTTGCCATGGAGACATCAGAGAGGAGGAGAGCTGTTTACATTGGCATCAGTCTTGTGTGTCAGAGTACCTGTAATACAGTCCTACATTAATTAACATCTCTCCCTGAGTCCGTCCCTTTGGTGTATGTTATTGAAATCAAGCTGCAACATTGTCTGTCAGGTAGATGATGGTGACCACTACATTCCAGGCTGTAAATGATGTTTTGCATTTTATGTTGTCTTTTCCTAACTGATATTTATATATTTGTACACTATTTTAAATAAGCTAAGTGAATAAAATGTTTTTTTGTATAAGTATTTGTTCCTTTTAACTTGCATATGTTGGGTTCTTTTTTTCTACCACTGTGATTCTTAGTTATTCTCCAAAGAAATGTAAAGCCCTGCTTTCCCTAACATCTGTTTGGATGTTCCCATGCTGTTGGTGACTGCAGGGTCGTGTTACCAGAACTACTGGCAGCTTCCCGTCCAGGAGAAGAGTTTTTGGCTCAGCACTGTGGAGGGGGTCATGTTGGATTTGGCAGTCTCGTGGTTTACATAACAAGAACATCAGAAATCTTTGGAGAGTTTGAGGCTGTTTTCACTCATCATATGAAGATCTAGTATGAGTTAATCAAGGTTTATTGATGTAAGGAAGGAAACCTGTTGGAATATTGAAAAAGCTGCACACTAATTCTGCCATGCGTACATGCGTATCTGGACAAGGACAAATGTCTTTCACACTGATTGATTAACCAGGTGTTCAAAGGGTCAGGGGGGCCTGGATCCAAAGTCTCTGTTTTAAGTGAATGTCATTAACATTTCTCTTTGGAAAATCAAAGAGCCAATCCTGTTTGTTGCTCCTGATCCAGATCTGGTTCCTTTTAAAGCAATGGTTGGACAATTTGGGAAATGTGCTTATTCACTTTCTTGCTGAGAGTTTGATGAGAAGTTTTAACTTGGCTCTGAAAAACATACAAAATCCACCTACCAGCACTTCTAAAGGGGTCCGCTGGTTGCTTGCCAAGAAATAACCACTTCGTAATACCCCAAAGTTTATACACAGATAAATGAGATCTAATGTGTGAAGTGTAAAGTTAGCCAGGCACACTGTTTCGAGTCTTTATGCTAAGCTAGGCTAACAGGTTGCTGGCTCCATCTTATCTAACCCTCGACAAGAAAGAAAATTAGCATATTTAGCAAGCTTGTTTTTGTTTATGGTTTCCAACATGCCTCTCCCCTCCAACCTTGCTGCTTAGCAGGGTGGAGTCTATGCTCTCAAGATTAGAACTACAACATTACTTCATCACATAGGACAAAAGCAAAATTACAAAAATTATGGTTACTTGTTCCAATCAATCCAGACCTAAGGTTTAATTATTTGTTGCACATCATATAAGGTGTTTGCTTTGGCAGGCAGACCATCAGTAGGCTGGCTGAATGCAGTAAATGTCACAGTGATTGATTTCCTGCCTACATACAAGGGGGGCTGTTCATATTTACATTTACCACAGGCCTCACTGGTTATTGGATGTTTTCTCTTTGTGTGTGTGTTTGTGTGCGATAGAAGGTTTATGGGTGTGTGTTGCCACTGGAGACAAAAACCGCAATCATTTCTGTCAGCAAATTAACCTGCGTGTCCTACCCTCTCATGAAGTGGTGGTGTGACGTCTAAAATGCACCTGCTGTGGCTGATCATTTTAACTTTTTTGGCCTTCTCATTGAGATCTATTATACAGAGTTTTAGGGCCATCTCTGTCTTTCTGCTCTTTTTCTTTAGCTGAGTTTTTGTATGTTGTACTGTGTGACGCTTTTCTTTTAGAGGATGTGGTACATTCAGCGGTATATTGCGTGTGAAGTAGCTGTGCACTAGTTCCTCCATGGAAGTTCTTTGGTACAATATGTCTACACAGCAGCCTGCATTTTATAGACAAACATGTTTCTGCACAGATAGAAGTTCTCAATTTTGTGTGGAAGCAGCTGATAACATTTCAGACAGATGATTGCTGGGTTTAACCCATTTTCAGTCTCAAGATCTTGAAGAAAAAAACTCAAAACTGCAGATGCTCTTTGAACTCTCACTTCTCCAGTTTGTTTTAAAGCTTACTGTCAGGGTCTTTGCACTGCTCTATAAATGGTGCACAGATATCTTTAAAATAAGAGGACAACAAACACACAAACTCAGCAATGTTCAAAATAATATAGACTCAACCTACTGCACAAGCAAATGTAGAAAAAGAGTGTGTTAATGAAGGAGTGGCCCTTTCCTAATGAAACAAGAAGCCTATATTCAAATGTAGGAATCATATATCAAACTGTTTGTATAAAATAGTATAATGAATGTAAATATAATTTGTCTAGTTATTAGCTGATCAGGATTCAGTATTCCAGAACTTTAAAATGGTAAATCTTTGAACCCCACCGGTTTTAAGGTAGACTGAATCATCAGCCATCAATAACAGTCAGGCTTATTTAAAACAGGTTTCCAAAAAGGGATAGGCTGTAGGTAATTGTTCTTGGTTTTCTGTTAATCCTCCTATTGTGTTTGAAAAGGGTTCACACCCTCAGTGTTTGCTGATCACTGAAAAAAAACAGTACTTATCATTCAGTAAATGTTTTATCTGCTAAGCAATGAATTATTCATTCATAACCATGTAGACTTTGGTATTTTATGTACCACATTTAACTTCTACAACTTAAACTATAAATCATTTTTAGGTTAAAATAGGTGCAATTTATTTGCTATTTTATTGCTAATGATGAAAAGAACAGACAAATAAATAAGACAGTGAGAGGCTAATGATAAACAAAATAATTCCCAGAATAATATGTATGTATTTTCTTACCCCTTTAACATTGCAATGTCACATTGTTTTCACATCATCATTTAATACATTGTCATTAAACATTTTACATCCAATATTTCCATTCTATGCTACTTAAATGAGCTGTATGCTGTCTGAACCTCAGACCAAAAAAACCCAGCAATAGGGGCTCTAGCCAAACTACCTAAAACAAAGGTCAGAAAAGCTCAAATGACAACACACACAAAGGAAGTGTGATGCCACTCTCTGCTCAGGATGCCATTATGACACTATTTCTTTACACAGAAAATTGTTATTTGCTGCTATATTCATGTCCAGAATCTCATATACAGAACCTATACTCCTATCCACTACATTTTGGAGGCCAATATAGTACTTTTTACTCCACTACATTTATTTGATGGCTTTAGTTACAGTTATTTGCAGTTTCAGATTATTAATCCAAAGTATAAATCAACTAATAATTGATCACATTACTTCCATCCTTTACAAGCTCCAACATTAAAGTGATGAACACATCAATGCATCAATAATTATAGTTCAGTATAATATAATACATATGAAACCCAAGTGTAAAAGAAATGACAGTGTGGCAGTGGGGTTATGTGGAAGACCATTTCATGGCTAAACGCAGTGACTTCCTGGAGTCTTTCGATCACATTTAAAAGGGCTGAGCCAGGATAGTTGTTTCCCCTTATGTCCAGTCAAAATGCTATGCTATTGTAAATGGTTCCAACACATGAAACAGACACACCAAGGAGTGGTATCGATCTTCTCATGTGACTGTTGGGATATGATTCTAAAATGGGCCATACTGTTTAATGAATACCTAGCCTAGCTGTTTGTTTCCAGTCTGAAGTGCTACAGCTGCAGGCATTAGCTCCATACTGTACCGAGGGAGTTTGAGTGTAGAAGTTCCCACTTAAAATAAAACTACCAGTTTCAAGTGAGGAGGTTTGCATGCAAAAGTTGCTTACATGGTGCGCTCAGACCAGACCAGTTGCAATGCTAGAAACTAGAGCAAGCGTGCCAGCGTTCTTTAAGGTCTATATGCTAACCACACTGGTTATAACACCAGGGCTATGTGGGGGGAGTAAGTAAGTTGCCTGGCAGAGACGAGCATACCACAGCTGCCAATGTTTTGGCTAGCAGTATTTAGTAGAAAATAACACACGGGTGATGTACTGTACAATAAAGTAATAATGCTATGATTAAAGCAACAAGATCCTTGTTTGCTCATTGTAACATGAGGATGTTGGCTCTGTGGGTTGAACCACTTTGGTAATGCAATCTAGCAGAATCATGATAGAGTTTGATCTTCTGTTTATTCTGTGCTTTGATGCTCACTAAACTCATAAAAATGAACTCATGAAATGAAAAAATAAACTCAAAATGTGATGTATTGTGTTTTGAAATGTAATTGTTAACTGTCTCAGATGTCTTTCTCCTGGGGGTCAGGCTGGTGGACAATACAGGTTATCTGTGTTCATGGCTCGACAGCTTTCTGTATTGCATTTAAAGTGACAAATACCTTTCTTATACCAGTCACCAAGGTGTTGTGCAATCCTCATCTGACTGCCCACACACTCAGGAGAACTAACAGTAATTTAACATGGACTCCCTGGAAAAACCACACATCTGTGCTTGTCTGTCAGTTTGTAGCACCAGGGTTAACCCAGCTCTGATCACAGCTACGCATAGACAATTTCCCAATTTTTCTGACAAAGATACGATGAAACTGAACTGGTCCAACTCGTTCAGTGGATCTTTCATGGAGTAGCGTAGAGGAGTTGGCCCGGTGTTGTTTCTCAAGGTGCAGTTTGATTAAGCACACAACAACAATTCACAGCTGACACTGATGAAAGGTTATTGCTCTCTCCTCCCACAGCACTCCACAATCACCAAGCTGCAGCTCACTGGTTTTGGCCTTTCTCTCATTAATCTTAATCTTCATACAGAAAGAGTAGGACTGGGTCTCCTGGTTAGCGACAACTTAAGATTTGTGGTTCTGAGCCTGGAGCATGTTTGGTTTGACTGACACCGGAGACACATTTCGATATTTCAGACATTTTGGGATATTCTGGGAATAAAAGTATGGTTTCCTGTCCAACACAGAATCACAACTCTCAAGAAAGGTTGTTTTCAGTGTGTACATAAGATACAATACTCTAAATCAGACTCAAAATAGATGGTTGTTAAAAATAAAAACAAAACAAATTAAAAGATTAAAACGTTGAAATTAAGAATATTATGGAAAATATAAAATAATATTAAAAGCAATATACAAGTAGAGAAAGTTAAGAAATTAAAATAATAATTACATAAAAAGAACTGAGCGTGTCGCTAGAGTAAATCATATTCAGACATAAGTATATAAAGTTTCCTGGCATGTGCGCTGTTGCCTTTTTTTTTTTTATATTTGTAAAATAGAGAATTTTTTTAGTGCATTCCACAACATTTATGTGTACAGTGTTGATGATGAAATTGTCAACTAGAAATTGAATAAGTTT